CCGCTGGTGGGTTGGGCTTGATCCCTTTAAACTCTCCCCAGCCAATCAACTGCAAGAAGAAAACAGCAATTAGACAGGGATTCATTCACAAAAGTGACAGGAACCCGTCACACCATCTCATCATCAGAGGATCCACCACTATATAACCTGCCTTCAGACCTTGCCTCAACGCCGCAGTGTTGATCTAGTTTGGTTAGCATCTGAGCCTAGTAAACCTGAGAATCTTTGCTATCTCTGGTTGAGAAAGGATTCTAACTCTTCCTTGTTTTTGCCTCACAGGAACCCTGTCTCTTCGTGAAGCTCTGGATGAGCTTAACCTGCCGAGCCTACCCTCGTGAGCCAAACCTGAAGACTCTTCTCTGGATTTCCCCGCAGCTCTTGGTTAAGAGCTGGAAACCCAAATCAAGGTCTGCCCTCATAGTCAGAAGTAAGACGCTGAAGCAGTTATTGGACTCTGCTGAACAAACAGTCTCTGGATCCAACAGTAACCTCTCTCAAAGAGAAACCCGGACTCCTTCAAGGTATTCTTCAGCTAACTCAAAGTCTCATAACTCATCTGTCCATGCGCTAACCGAACTATCATCTCTGCAGACTCCAGTGAACCTGCCCCCAGGCCTGAACCAGTTCCAGTTGAAATATTCATGTGCTTGTGTAACCAGGGCCGGCGATTGCTATAGGCGAGCTAGGCAATTGCCTAGGGCGACAAATGTGTTGGGGGCGCCCTCTAGCGTCGCCCTTAGGCTTACTTCCCATTAATCATAGAATTAGAAAAAAAAGCGAATTAAACCGGTTATGAAGCGTCCGTCAGTTTGACTTAACCTTACGTATATATAAATAGCAAAATATGAACAAATAAATATACCACCGTTTTTTTATTTATTTTTTCACATTTAAGAGAAAATCGGAAAAGATTCTGATCACTTTTCAAGCGCCCTCCAACCCGGAAGTCGTGACGTCAATCACTGCAGCATGTACACCAATATTTTGGAATGAAATTGTAAGCAAACAGATATTAAAAGTAAAACAAGTGAAGTCTGGCACTTAACTCTGCTCGCGACTCGAGAATGGCTGAACGGAAAAGACTCCTCCTCCTCCTCCTCCTGCCGCCGCAGTCGGGCCCCTCTTAATCATCCACTCAGAGTACCACTGGTAAGCGCACACAGACTTTGTAGCTTGTCCGGTCAGTTAAAAATATTAATTGTGAAATCCGTGTTGTAATCGGAAGCATACAAGCTAGTTAGCTTGAAAAGTAAATAAAGTTTCAGAAGTGCTGCGTGATGATGTGTTCAGATTGGCTCAGTAAAACGACAATTAGGTTATCATGATGCGTTCAAGTGTAACGTAAAGAAAACGGGAAATTTTGTTTTTGGCGAGAAACATGAGTAATACAGTTGTATATTGCTCTATATATAATTAAACTACTGATGCCAACATTTATTAAAAATTACATTTAATTTAAAATACAATTATTTATTTGTTAAATATTTTCCTAATCACTAAAAACATGATGAAAAGTGACAGTAGACAATACATTAACCAACAATTGTGAAAATATATTCTAGTTAGTTTTATGTCATTTCGAAGTGGCCTATTACATTAGCCATGTTTATTGAAGGCTATAAACGTTTTTGTTATGCTCACTTGTTAAGCAATAGAAGCAATACCAATTCTGTTAAAAAAAATTTGTTGCATCGTCTTTCCACCAAATAACAGAAAAGTATCGATAGTGGTATCGATAAAGACTCGGATCGATAAGGAGTATCGATAAAGGTATCGATATCAATAAATATCAACGATCCCCATCCCTAATGTTGACATCATTTTTTTCTCAGTATATATGCAGCAGAATTATGTGCTATATTATTAGCTTGAGAATGGGTAGAAGATACTAATATAAATAAAATATTTTGTAGTGATTATCTGCATTGAGTATTCAAAAGGGATGTACAAATAATCATCAAAATATATTAAGTTATGGCTGTTCATCATAGAATATGTGAACAAAAAAAAACCAACAACTTCAAACTTTTAATTTTGTAATGGTATTCATAAAAGCACTTTTGTTTGTAGAGGGTTAATCCTTTCTTTAATCACTAATCAATGTCAGAAATCAGGGTAAATATACCTGATATATTTTATTTAGAGGAAAAGTTTGTTTATCTCATTTCTATTTATGTTCAAATGATTTAATTGAACTGGAACGGAAAAAAATTTAATTTAATGTTTATCAATTACTTTTTTATGTAGTCCTTGGTTGAAGAATTTCTTAAATTTATAATTTTTTATTGTTATTTGGTAATTTCTGAAATTGATTTATTTAATATTTGTTTAATGTGTGTTAAATTTGTTAATTGTCTGAAATAAATTCATTGAATGATTCAATCCAGTTTTTTAGTTATACTTAACCTAAGTGTCCTTACAGATGGTTAAAAGTGTTTTTGCACAGTCCTAACTTTGAGTGTGTAATAAATTATTTAAAATAATAAAAAAGAAAAGGTACTGAAACCTATTCTGGTATTTGTCTATGCATCACTCCATGCTAAGTTACAGTTTTTTCTGAATGCTTAAACACAACCTTGATTCTTATAGCACAATTTCTAAAACTATTAATACTTATAGCAAATCCACTCACTGAGTTCACAAAACTAAAAGAACAAACACTGCTTTGCACTCAATTTGCAATTTTGTAACACACACTTTGCACAACAATTCACCGCACAGCACTCTTTGTGGAACTGTAAACACAACTCAATGCACTAAACAGATGCTGAAAACAGTACTGGTATTTCGCACGGCAAAGGTGAGGTGGGGGGGGGGGGGGGGGGGGGGGGGGGCGCAAAACTCAATCTCGCCTAGGGCAACCAAAGGGCTAGAACCGGCCCTGTGTGTAACAATAAACCTTGTTAAACTTTTCATCAGCTTCCGTTTGTGTTCTGCATATTGGGCTTACTCAGTAACCAATCATGACACTGATGGTGTCAGCTCCAAATCCTGAAGGCCTGAGAAGAGCAGCTCTGTAGGATTCTACAGCACCAGCCTGACTCAGATAGTTCCAGTGATGTGGAAGACCTCCTGCCTTATTTTAGTACCAAAGAACACTCGCCCAACAGTCCTCAATGACTCTAGATCTATTGCCCTGACATCCCACATCATGAGGTTCGTAGAGAGACCTCTGTTGGTTCAACTCAGCAAACAAACATGCACTATCAAGACCCCTGCAGTTTGCTTATCGCTGCGGAGATGGAATTAATCATGCATAATAATCAAAAAGCTCAAGCAGAACATTCAGATGAGAACAAGCAAGCTCAGTGGTTGGTCTCTCCATTTCTTTTTACTCTGAACATGTCTGACTTACAGTACCAGACAGAGTCCTGACATCTGCAATAAATACGCAGATGACTCTGCAATTATTGGGCGTGTCAAAGATGAACTAGAAGCTGAGTACAGAGAGCTGGTGTACCGCTTTGGCATGGTGTGGAAACAGCCATCTGATCCTGAATGTCGACAAAACAAGGAATAGAATATAAAATCCCTTGTCCCACAATAAGGAAATTCTGGCATTACAGCAGCAAAAAGATTATAGAAAAAATGGTCACACAAATCTGGACCTTAGAAAAGTGTATACGAATAACATGATAGTGAATGAAGATGCTTCTAGATTTCAGAAGAAACAGGAACAAGCTGAAACCTATTAACATCATCAGTCTATGAGAGTGGGGCTCGAACCTCAGGATTCCAAGCTCTATCCTCTAACCATTAGGCCGCCACTCCCCAAATACATATCTTCAATAAGTCTGTTGTGAAAAGTGTGATCTCTTCTTCCATCCTCTAACAGTATTAGAGCTAATGACTTAAAAAGGCTCAACGAGCTAATTGTTGAGCGGATGTATCGGTGGTCGGAGGCAGAGGATCAGAACTGAACAGACAAATTTAAGCAGGATAATCCAGATGATGAAGCCAAAGCTGATGTCGGTGATGTGCTTGGTTGTCAGAGCCAGGAGGTCAGAGGTTCAGTGATGTGCGGAGGGAGAATACTGGACAGAGTCAGTCACAGTTCCAGGTACGGTACACAAACACACAGAGATCTGGCAGGAGTCCGAAGACATGTCAGGCAACCAGATCAGATGAGAACAGGCAGACTAAAGAGGCAGAACGGGTCCTGATCAAGCTACCTCTATTATCATAGAGGTATTTCTGCAGCAACCTTTTCTGTACGTGTTCTTATCTGGAGAGGTTTGACTGTTGTTTTGTATGTCTAATTTACAATTACACAACTCCTGCTAAACCTTTTTCTTTGTGACTTCTAGTCAACAGTTACAATTTTCAAATAGTTTTACATAACTTGTTTTGGATTAAGTGGAGCAAAACTATGAATATCCAAGGTTTATGAAATGTGACTCAAATAATACCAACTTCTTAAAGATTAATATACATTTAGAGGTTTGCAATAAATCATCCTATTATGATGCTTATTGAAGAGCGCCCTTTGAAGATTTTTCAAGAAATCCCGAGGCTGACCTAGAACCCACAAGAGGTAGTATAAACATCTGGCCTGGGAGTGCCTTGGAATCCATTCTCAGGAGCTAGATAGTGTTGCTGTGAAGAGGACTCTCCAGGTTTGAAGATGACAATAGATGGAGGGATACATAAATTATCAATGATTCGACACTGAATATATTCTAACTGTTAAGCTTAATCTGAAACCATAGAGCTGACTGTTGCTCTGGATACCAATGTAATTCAAACCTCGTTTAAACCTCAAACTCTTGTGAACTCTATTTTTTTTTTAAGCTGTTTTCGTAGTCAGAAAATCTGAAACGGTAACTAATGAATGCAGTATGTATGTTTGTGTTTTGAGACTGAGAAGGGATTTGTTGAGGTTGTGTATCATGCAAAACAAGCTGGTCCTTTCTCTCCATCTCTTTGAGCTTTGCGGGGAAGGGCCAGAGGTATAAATCAAGAATGGGGGTTGATAGCAGGGGTGGAACATAAAAGAGTGTTGCTGGAACCAGCCTTGCAGGAGGAGCAGTGACTCTTAGTCCACGGTAGGAGAAAGACTGAAGACATAGCTACTCTTCCTGAAGTATCCAACCATGCTGTGGTTTGTGGGGCTTACCTTTGTCCTCTGCATGGGAGGACACATTGTCACGGGACAGCGAGGTGAGAGCAAACTGTTTCTGATTGACATTGTCTGAATTGGGGATAGTATAGTTTTTTGGAACTTAAGCAGAGGAGAAAAATAATCATAACAGGCCTAAATCTACAAGTTGTATATGGAATGATGAATTTTGATCACATAAAAAATAGAAACTTATAATTCATCATTATAGAGACATCAGTATATAATCATTTCGTCTTGATAATGTACTAAATAATAAAAAACAAAAAAAAAATGTAAGAGACTCACATCTTCAAGGTTTTGGGCTTTCCAAATGCAGATAATGATTTATTTTCACCCTTTTCCTGCTGTGGAATTCAGTCAGTAACAGAGCTGCTCCTGATGAGAGGAACATATTTCCTGAGCTTTGCTCTCAGGGGGGTTCTGATTCTATTTAGCTCATCTGGTGTGTTCAGAAAGGTTACAAGTTAGATAAATTGCTAAGAAGGCAAATTGCATTTGGGTGGATAAACCACCACATGCAAAGTCCTTCATGCTACAACCTTGACTGAGGTTAACACTTTTTAACCATGTAATCTGAGCTAGTTACACTTATGTTGCTCAAGTTAAATTTATATATCAATCCATTTTCTGATCTGCGGATCAGAGACCATTTGGCTTTTGGACGTAGGGTCCATTGACTAGACTATGGCGTGGTTCCTAAATTATCCTGATAGATTCTGCACACATATGCATAAAATGATAACTACTTGGGTTTTGCTGTTGACCAGATACATATTATTTAGAGAAAATTATTTTGAACATTAAATCTTACATTATTGATAAGACAAGATGATCCTTTTTTAGTCCTAAATTGGGAAATATTGGCTGTCAGCACTAAAAGCGGACAGTACAAAATAGAGCAGAAGAAAGAAAAACAACAAACAAAGCTCAATCATCGATCAATCGACGGACAGATGGAGCAGGCCCTCCAATTTTTTTTTTCTCCATAGGTCATAATTCTTACCTTTAGATTTCAGACCAGAGAGCCTGTTTGTTTAAATAAGTTGTCTACTGATATGCGTGCAAAGCACTGTATAATATGGCTTCATGATATGCTAAAAAGTCACTGTACTATTGTCATTGTTTTAACAAATGTTTATTTCCACATTCAGGCCTCATATTTGTTGGAATTTAAAAAAAAATGTTTCAATGACCTGCAATGATGCTACCTAATTGAGGAATATTTTTCAAAAATCTTTAGAAGATTCTGTTTTAAATGACAAATGTCAGATGTCAGGAAAATGTAGCTGTCAAGAAAGTCGATAGCATGTAAAATCCTGATCTTTTCATCCATGGTTCACTTGTAAACACATATGACCACCCGCTGTTTTTCATTCCTGTATGTATGCTTAGCTGGAAAATGTAGCTTCCAGGAAATCGTCTGCATATCTGGAAAATCACTTTTGGAGCTGGAGTTAAAACATTGCAGACTTGAATGAATGAATGAGCTGTTTCAAGAAAAGATCTGTGGTTTCTGAAGAAGAGGTCTTCAGCGTAAGGCAGTAGTTGTTAAAGACCCCCCCCCCCCACACACACACACACACACACACACACACACATCTGTATTTAGTGCTTAGGGAGTTTATTTTTGTTCTTGGAGTTGAGCTAACAAAGAACCTCTTGAAACAGAAGAACTGAAAGGAATCCAAGTCTGCACAATTAAAACTTTAATTTCTTTCTACTTACCGGGTAAATACCCTCTGTTTTTGTCTGATTTATGTGGCAATCATTTCCCTTTAGGCTAACAAATGTTCTAAAAATAAACTCCAAAGACCAAACCATTACAGGGTCGTACTGATTGACTGATATAAACTTCAATCATAAAAATTTTTTAAGATAAGTTAGAACCAACAAAGAAAATAATTATTTAGTATTTTTCTTTTCTATTGTTTCAAGGTCAGACCCTGGTCAGATATTACCCTCCCTCCATCCACCCACCCACCCTCCACTGCATCTCAGTGTTGTTTTATACATTAAAAACTATAACAGAAATATGAAATATTTGCCCAGAGCTGCTTGGTAAGCCTTTTCATTGTTTGCATAAGATCCTTGGTTTGGGGTGGGAACCTTTAGCTTTACATGACTGAATTCTCAAACAACCGCAGGCAAGCTGTCAAAGGGAGCTTCTTGACTGTTAACACCAGAAGAAAGGTACACAGACTTTTACCACAGCTGCAGTACATTTCATGGCCAGCTGACCTTTAATGTTCAGATATTCCACCATTTGTTGACACTGAGCTGTGATATTGACACAGCTGATGGATCATAAGATATTGGTGCAGATTAAAGTCTGCCCCCTCAGTTTTTGCTGGAGCTTTCTGGACCTCGGTTTGGACAGATGGATGTTAGCCTTTCCTGCTGGACAACAGACTCTATCTGTAGACAAGGAAGATGATAGAAGCCTAAAAGACTGATTATGAGTTTATGCTCTTGATGCTTTGAGCTAAACAATTTATTTATAGCAGGAGAATTAAAAGTCCTATGCGGTTTATAGCCTGTTTTCCTTATTCTAAATTGCTGTCATGAAAAAGTTAAATTTGTGGTCTAAATAAACAAACATTAAGAAGAGAAAGCAAAGGTAAATCTGAGGTGAGGAAATCATTTAACTTTAACTTTTTTTTTTACATATTCCCATCCCAACCACAGTTTTAGATGGGTTTTTTGCACATTATGTGCAAGACCAACACAGTGGAGCACATCATGAACAAACAAGGAAGATGATAGAAGCCTAAAAGACTGATTATGAGTTTATGCTCTTGAAACACCTCTTGATGCTTTGAGCTAAACCATTTATTTATAGCAATAGAATTAAAAGTCCTATGCAGTCTATAGCCTGTTTTCCTTATAAAAGCATCCTGCCACATGATACTGCCACCACCATGTTTTACCATGGGGATGGCTAGTTGAAGGTGATGCGGAGTGTTAAAGTGTACTGCTTGCTTTATGCTGGGATTAATTTAGACACAGGTGGACTCTGCTTACAAAAAATATCATGTTTAACACTGCAGCTGATCGAATGGTGTTTTCTGTCTGTGCCAGATGGAGAAATTATAAGTCAGATTAAAATGACTAATCTGGTCTTGGCTGAGATTAAAGAGTTGCTGAAACAACAGGTAAACCTCCTTCACTGCCATCAAAATGTTCATTACCAATTAACAAGAAAATGGTTTCATTTTGTAATTCTATTACACAAATCATCTTGATTGGATTGGTCAGTTGATCCATTGTTTATTACAGGTTAGAGAAATAGTGTTCCTGAAGAACACAGTGATGGAGTGTGAAGCCTGCGGTGAGTTAGTTAAATCCGTCGTTTAAAAATGTTTTATTTTGGCTACTCCAGGTTCAAGTTTGAGATTAAAACAAAAACAAAAACAATCCTGCATAGATTCCTAGATATATGTATAAGTAATTTCAACAAGAGTTTGATAATCATTAGAAGTTTGCAAAGCACTGACATTTGCCAGTCTGGATGACATGACAAGAGATTCAGCTTCCCATCACAGCAGTTTCTTTTTCTCTGCTAGCAATGGGAGGCGTTCAACCTGAATCCTCCTGTGATCCCAACCCCTGCCACCCCGGTGTGAAGTGCATAGAGTCCGCTGAGGGCCCACAGTGTGGACCCTGTCCTGATGGCATGCAGGGAAATGGTACCCACTGCATGGATGTGGACGAGGTAGGAAGATATATCAATATTATTTGATATTATAGATGAGCATAAGTTATTTTAACTACTCACAAATTGTTGATTAAACAGACAATTGATTACCTTGACATTCCTATAATGCAGAGAAACAACAAAACTCTAAAAATCCTAAATTCATTTTCTGATTTAAAAAAAAGCAACAAAAACGTTTATCCAAATATTTTTGGAGTTGCTAGCATTCAAAAGTGCAGGTCGGTGAAATGGTTGACAACCAAAGAACATGTTTGCTTAAATCCATCTGACTGCTATATCCAGTTATCTAATAAGAGGATCTACGAAGAGATCTAATGTGTCAGAACAAATAAAACAGCTTGTCTCATATTATTGTTTTGAGGAGATTTTTGTATGTGTTCTTTTCAGTGCACAGTAAAGCCCTGCCACATGGGTGTCCGTTGTATTAACACCTCTCCTGGTTTCCGTTGTGGATCCTGTCCTGCTGGCTTCACAGGACCTCAGGTCCAGGGGGTCGGACTTGCCTACGCGACTGCCAACAAACAGGTCAAGACTAAATGTTTAGTCATAGTTGCTGTAATTACAAAAGGATCATAATCCTGGCAGATGGGTTAAAGTAGCTGTTTATTTTCACCAACATGTTTTATTTTTGTTTTGTTGTTTTGGTGGATGTAATCCTAACTTGTTGTTGTGACCCAGACAGAGACATGACTAAGATGTAAAGATGGACAGAAAGATTAAGTTTGTTGCAAGAAGGCCCTTCATTCAAGAAGACTTAAAGACATAAAGGATAATTAGTCAAAAAACAAGCAGAAACATCTAAAAAGTCAGTCAGCAATTTTAAGAGAGGCTTGGACAGTTGCAATGCCAATAAATACTTTTAAAAGGCGATGAGAGGGTATAAATCATTTTCTATACATTTTTTCTTACAAAAGTACTCTGTCAACCATTTTAATTATATTTTAGTAGATTTCTCTCTCATTTATGATCAGAAACAAACTTCTTGGCTGAAACACAAAATCTGCAGTAGGTGTATATATATATATGTATATATGCTACCGTTCAAAAGTTTGGGGTCACCCAAACAATTTTGTGTTTTCCTGAAAAGTCCCACTTATTCACCACCATGAGTTGTGAAATGAATAGAAAATAGAGTCAAGACATTGACAAGGTTAGAAATAATGATTTGTATTTGAAATAAGATTTTTTTTTACATCAAACTTTGCTTTTGTCAAAGAATCCTCCATTTGCAGCAATTACAGCATTGCAGACCTTTGGCATTCTAGCTGTTAATTTGTTGAGGTAAGCTGGAGAAATTGCACTCCACGCTTACAGAAGCAGCTCCCACAAGTTGGATTGGTTGGATGGGCACTTCTTGCGTACCATACAGTCAAGCTTCTCCAACAACAGCTAAATGGGGTTCAGATCCGGTGACTGCGCTGGACACTTCATTACCGATAGAATGCCAGCTGCCTGCTTCTGCTCTAAATAGTTCTTTCACGATTTGGAGGTGTGTTTAGGGTCATTGTCCTGTTGTAGGATGAAATTGGCTCCAATCAAGCGCTGTCCACTGGGTATGGCATGGCGTTGCAAAATGGAGTGATAGCTTTCCTTATTCAGAATCCCTTTTACTCTGTACAAATCTCCCACCTTACCAGCACCAACCAGCAACCCCAGACCATCACATTACCTCCACCAGGCTTAACAGATGGTGTCAGGCATTCTTCCAGCATCTTTTCATTTGTTCTGCATCTCACAAACGTTCTTCTTTGTGATTCAAACACCTCAAATTTGGATTCATCCATCCACAACACTTTTTTCCAGTCTTCCTCTGTCCCAAGTCTGTGTTCTTTTTATTGGCCTGTCTCAGATATGGCTTTTTCTTTACCACTCTGCCCTGAAGCCCAGAATCCCGCAGCCGCCTCTTCACTGTAGATGTTGACACTGGTGTTTTGCGGGTACTATTTTATGAAGATGCCAGTTGGGGACCTGTGAGGCGTCTGTTTTTCCAACTAGAGACTCTAATATACTTATCTTCTTGCTCAGTTGTGCAACGCGGCCTCCCACTTCTTTTTTTTACTCTGATTAGAGCCTGTTTGTGCTGTCCTCTAAAGGGAGTAGTACACACCGTTGTAGGAAATCTTCAATTTCTTAGCAATTTCTTGCATGGAATAGCCTTCATTTCTAAGAACAAGAATAGACTGTCGAGTTTCAGATGAAAGTTCTCTTTTTGTGGCCATTTTGAGCGTTTAATTGGCCCCACAAATGTGATGCTCCAGAAGCTCAACCTGCTCAAAGGAAGGTCAGTTTTGTAGCTTCTGTAACGAGCTTAACTCTTTTCAGATGTGTAACATGATTGCACAAGGGTTTTCTAATCATCAATTAGCCTTCTGAGCCAATGAGCAAACAGATTGTACCATTAGAACACTGGAGTGATAGTTGCTGCAAATGGGCCTCGATACACCTATGTATATATGGCACCAAAAACCAGACATTTGCAGCTAGAATAGTCATTTACCACATTAGCAATGTATAGAGTATATTTCTTTAAAGTTAAGACTAGTTTAAAGTTATCCTCATTGAAAAGTACAGTGCTTTTCCTTCAAAAATAAGGACATTGCAATGTGAGCCCAAACTTTTGAACAGTAGTGTGTGTATTTATATATATATTAGGGATTGGACGATTTATGAAAACCGTCAGAACCGTTCGGTTCGACTGTCTCGGTTCGATTCGCGTGTGTTTCGTTCGGTTCATGCGCTGCTCCTTTTTCTCATAGGCGAAGCGTTTACACTCCAGAGCAGAAGGTGGCGGTATTGCGACCAAAGCCAACCACCAGTAGTAAACAAGAAGAAGAAGAAGCAAAGCAGCTTAGCCGGGTGTAGCAGGGAAAAAAATCAGTTGTTGTGGAGAATTGTGTCGGACTGGCGAGTGGGAAAGAACAGGAGTTGGAAGACGCGCCAGCAGCACTTTATAGGTCTGCTGTATGGGACCGCTTTGCATTTAGAGTGACCTACCATGACGGCGGAAAGAAAGTTGTGGATAAAAGTGCAACAGTGTGCAAGCATTGTGCAAGACGTTTTGTTTATGCTAACAGCAACATGACCAACATGTCATGCTAACCCCGAAATCCCTCATACTCCATCAGCAACCCCCGGTGCGCTCCAGACCGGCTGCTCAAAGCAAAGCCTACAGCCCCCACTGTGGCTCCCGTCCGCTCCCCTCTGAGTCCCTTGGAGATGGTAGAGAGCATGCGCGAGATGATTAAATTCAAAGCAGCAAAACATACAGAAATGTTCCAGGGTTTCCGCGGATCATTTAAAATAATTACAATCCATTATTTTTGGGGGGATTTTTTCATTAATTTCATAAATTTTTATGGGATTTCGGTGTAACAATAAACATATACCGAATCGAACCAAACCGAAAACCATGTCCACGAAACCGTGAATCGAACCGAACCGTGGATTTTGTGAACCTTTCCACCCCTAATATATATAAGATCAATAGAGGCCGGGGTCTACCACACCAGGCAGGACCCCCGGTGCAGACTGTGCAAAGATGCCTCTGAAACAATACAGCACATAACAGCAGGGTGCAAAATTCAAGCAGGAAGTGCATACATGGAACGCCATACCATGTAGCTGTCATACTGTACAGCAGTGGTTCCCAAAGATTTTCTTCTGGGCCCCCCTTTGGATTACAATAAAATTTCCACGCCCCCCCATCGCCCCCCCAACCAACCCCATCAAACCAGTGGTGCAAGTGGTAATTGGAGCACTGGGGCCTGTGACCCCCAAACTGGGAGAGTGGCTACAGCAGATTCCAGGTAAAACATCAGAGGTCTCTGTCCAGAAGAGTGCAGTCCTAGGAACAACCAAGATATTGCGCAGAACCCTCAAACTCCCAGGCCTCTGCTAGAGGACCCGAGCTTGAGGATGACACATACACGACACTATTTTCTGACCCACGAGGGGTGAGAAAATAGTTTATATAAAATCAATTCAATGCAGTTTACATATAGCACCAATTTACAACACATGTCATCTCAAGAGACTTTGCGAGACTATTCGTCCTTATCATCCAGTCAGATTGGTTCAGTTTTTCTGTCTAACGGAAACTAGCTGATTGCATCGGCTCATTGATTTGCAGGACAACTCCCCCTGGATGATGACGTATAACAACAAGTAGTTATTCACATACAGCTGAAACCACATATAAGTGCTAAGAAAACTTCAAAAATACACATTGATTTTATCCATCTAAAATGTTGTCTGTCCATCTGATAACTTAGACTTAGACAAACTTTGTCAATTTGTATACACAGAGTGTACACAAAAAAGAATTTCGATGCAAATAGCTTTTCAACAGTGAATGAGCAGCTTACAGCAGTGAAATGTACATTTCCATATATAAAGTGCAGCAGTGATCAGAAAAATATGGTGCAAATATAGTAGAAACATTGAGTTGAGTTCTGTTTAAAAGGGATTTGAAGGGTGTGCTTTGGTGAAGCACTGGTTCGTGCACACGACCCATGTTTGGAGGCCTTGGCCTTTGACGCGGGCGACCCTGTGGTCCTTTCCGGCATATCTCTCCCCCTGTCCTGTCAGACTACTGTCCATAAAAACAAGCCACTAGTGCCGTAAAAACTTAAAAAAACCTCGAAAACATTATATAAGCCTCTTTCTGAATATTTCTGTCTTTTTCTTTTCAAGGTGTGCAGAGACATTGATGAGTGTGAAGGTCCCAACAATGGAGGCTGTGTTGAGAACTCTGTCTGTATGAACACCCCTGTGAGTATGGCACTGCCACATTTCACGTTAGTCTACTGCAGATGTACCATTTGAGTAAAACAATAAAAATTTCTGGACTATTCAACTCAAAAGTTTTGCAGAATGTCACCTCATGCAATTTGCAATTAAAATGCCTTGCAAATCCTTATAAAGACAGAGGAAAGGCACCCAAGCTGAAAACCTATGGTTAAAAAAAATAAAATCAGAAGCAAATATGAATGACTACATAAAAAATTGATCTGAAACAAAACACCCAAAATGTTTTTAGTTATTAAAGGAACTCATGAACCACATGCTGCAGTATTGTTACAGTTGAGTGGAGGTTTTTAGAGGACCCAAATGCAGAGACGAAAGCTGAGGTGTTTTTTTTGTGTGGATTTAATTTTTATCTAACGGAAACAGGCCAATAAAAAATACAGAAAACCAAAATCCAGGAGATATCAGGGAAACCACATATGAGGAGCAAAGAAACAGGAGGAAGCAGCACTGAAAAACTGCACAGAGAGAGTATATATAGGAGATACAACAAAGACTCGGCTAATGAGCTGACAAGGAACAGGCGTGGATGGAAGCATCTAGAATGCTTCAATCCAAACTGAGAAAACTCAAAAATACAACCGAAAACAACAAGAATAACACAAAATGAGAATGAAACCAATGAAATTTCAAAAAGAAAACAGATAAAAAACCATGACAAGAATAGTTTGTCTGGAATAAACTACTTTCTTGTATTTTGTATTTGCCAATAATACTTGTTTTTTATATGAGACCAACATTCTTTTAATTTCTTTAATGTCTCTGAAAAGATGGACAAAGCTGGGGTACCAAGACCAAACCCGCTAATTCAGAGGGTAAACAGGTAGCCTTCATGCAAAAAAATTTAAATCAAGGACCTTCATGCTGCAAAGAAACAATGTTAATTAAGCCACCACAATATAAACTTAATGAGTAGCTAAACATTTTTGCCTTTATTGTAACAGATATCCCTATCCAGTACAATATATCTAAAAATATATACAAATCTAGAAAGAATCATAATAAAAGCAAATCTGCATATTGCGTAAAAAGCCACACGCACCCTGCGAAGCAAAGCAGCGTCTACACTGTAATGTAGGGTTACTTTTCTTCTGAAGTAACAGGATTATTTTTCATTCTGAAGGATAGTATGAACTGTTTCAAATAACAGCTGGTTTGGTTCAGAAACACACAGTTGTTCGCTATAAAGCTTAAAATAAAGCTGGGTTTTTATTCATTTCAAGAGCAAAGTCGTTGCATTTATCCAAGTAAAGAAAACAATGGCTTCAAAACAAAAAGTTTTTAGTGGGCTCTTAGATCTGACTTACAATCAGTTGAACCACCTAAAGAGAGAGGGCTTCTGAAAGACATTTCCACAAAATCCAATGGATTTTGACAGCATTTTCAAGATTACTTAGACATATGGAACCTAATAAAGACATAAGTTCATAGGCTCTTAACAATATAAGAGTACATGCTAAACTGAATCAAAATTATTATTTACAAATGTGTGCAGGCTTATTCAACCAGCTTTACTTATTGTTAATTTCCCCCCAAATTAGGGGTCAGAGGACATGAATGTCAAACTGACAAAGACAGGAAAAAAGCAGAGACCAAAAAGCCTTTACAACTATCTATATCCCTTTAAAATCATAGCACAGCTATATGTTTCATTTTAAAAGCATTGTCTCTGTTTAGGGCTCATTCAGATGTGGTCCTTGTAAACCTGGCTACATTGGGGATCAACGGAATGGATGCAAGCCTGAGAGAGCTTGTGGTAATGGCCAGCCAAATCCCTGTCATCCCAGTGCTGAATGCATCGTCCACCGAGAGGGTAACATTGAATGTCAGGTAATGCAGTTCAGCTTTTAGTTTTAATGTTTGACAAAACTGCCTCTATCATTTTAACATGTTGTTTATAAAACAAAGAACAATCCACATGAAAAAAGCTAGATAATCTCTGATTGTTGCAGTGCGGTGTGGGATTGGCGGGTAATGGATACTTCTGCGGAACAGACACTGACATTGATGGCTTCCCAGATGAGAAGCTGAACTGTCCTGACATTAATTGCAACAAGGTGAGTTTTCAGGATACCACCATGTCAGTAAATGTATCTAAAGAAACCGAGGTGAATGCAGTCTTTTAAGGTATGAAGTAGAAATACAAGAAACTATAACAAGGGTTTGTTTTTGCAGGATAACTGCCTCACTGTGCCAAACTCTGGCCAAGAGGATGCTGACAATGATGGGATTGGAGACGCCTGTGATGATGACGCAGACGGGGATGGGATCCCAAACACACAGGTTAGTGAACAAGCAAAAACCTTCTTGTGTTCTACTGGTTTTTGAAGGAAGAGACCAAATAACATTGTCTGCAGGATAACTGTTGGCTGGTGCCCAATGTGGACCAGAGAAATGTTGACGAGGATGACTTTGGTGACGCTTGCGACAACTGCAGAGCAGTCAAAAACAATGACCAGAAAGACACAGATGCAGACAAATATGGTGATGAGTGTGATGAAGATATGGATGGAGATGGTGAGAATCCTTTATCCTCCAGTTATTTTAATAAAAGAAATATACTGTATAGGTATAAAAAGTTAATTGTCCTTCAAAACAGTAAATTTGTCAAAAGTAAGAAATGTTACTTAGTTTAATTTGTTTCATATTCACTGGTATTATTTAAAACACCAGGAATCCCAAATCACCTGGACAACTGCAAAAGGGTTCCCAATGTTGACCAGAAAGACAGAGATGGAGACAAAGTGGGAGACGCGTGTGACAGCTGTCCTTACGTTCCCAATCCTGATCAGGTGAAAAATGTCATTTGCTGTTTTTTGCCAACACACCAACTGCACTCTAAAATGAAATACTGTCACCTTTTGTTTCTGACTAGGTTAAGCTGTTATAGGCCAAAAAAGGTCAGAAATGGTTAGACAGCTCATCAACCTTTTTAATGATGCAAGACGATGCACTGCATAGTAAGGTGTTCCCAAAAATCCCAAAAGTAAAGCATACTTTTTTCAAAAGAAGGTTTTAAAAAACAAAAGACCAAACAAGACAAAACTAAAATTTAAGTTGGCATGTGAACTAAAAACCCAAACTCCCATGATCCCTTTAGCTTTGTGGGGTGGGTAACGCCTTCAAAGTGACAAAAGTTGACAGGAGCAAGCAGAAACGCAGAAGTAGAGGGAGGCTGAGCATGTAGACATGACATCCAACCACACACACCCATAGAAGGAACAAGAACTCCTGTAATCTATTTGTACTGTATTTGCACATGTAACATGTTAATTGTGCACATGAAGAGTAGTTTATAAGCGTCTGTATGAAGTAAAGTTGCTTGTAGGAGTATTTATTGTGTGTGGACTATTGGCAGAATCCTGACGCTACAGTATTGACAGTATTTTCTTGTCAAGATTTTTTCACCCACCGTTGATCAATGTGATTGTCATGATTGTATCAAGAGCTCGGACCCACATGCAGAGAAGCCAATACAGAGAGACCAGGGAAAAAGTTTAACAGGTTTATTGAGAAGCTTGTGAAGATTCCAGTGTTGCTCAGAACACTGCTCAACCGGAACTGAAAGGTGAGAGGAAGACACTGCGGTTAGTTCAGGTTCAGTGGGAAAATTGATTCTCGAACTTGAAGAGGAGAAAAGGTTTGCAGACTCATGTTTCCAGAAGAGTGGCTGACTCTTTGACTCCAGTCGGTTTGGGGTGTTCCAGTGTTTGTCTCATTCGATGGAGGACGGACAGGGTTTACCCAGAATTTGGTTGTTTGTAGGAGAACGGAGAAACTGACTGCCACTGAGATTCCCTGCGGTAATTGAATGGACTGTGGTGCAGATGAATCCCTTGCTCAGTGTGAAACTCAAACGATCCCTTTGAGGATAGTGGATCCAAACCTCTTGTTTGAATCCCCAGCTCAGTTTGAGGCTCAGTTGATCCTTCCAGGGAGAGAAGGTCCGAAACATCCTGTTTGCAGGATGACTTCCTGCCGAGAGGCAAAGACAAAAATAGCAAGATTAAACTCAGGTTGACAAAAACTCAGTTTGACTCAGCAAAACTCAGCTTGGCTAGAGTACCCAAAACTAGCAAACACTCTGGCGTCAAGGTAGTGGCAGTCAGCAGCTTAAGAACACTCCGTTAATGAGGTAACCCCTTGCAGGTACACACAAACCACACAGACAGGAGTCCTAACAGTGATATTTATAGGCCAAATTATCTAGATGTTTATTTGCAAATCCCCATCAGAATGGAAGCCAGAATAGGAGCTGTTGCTAGTCTAACATGTTTTTCTGCAAAAAGCTGTCTGTCAGATTTTCCTTTACAAATTTTTCTAGGTGCGCGATGGATCAGATGTAATGAGGTAATTTCCCCCAGTAGAACTTGCAGATGCATCAACATTAACCATGGGTATACCATGTTTATACCCTACAGCTTCTTACTCATGAGTTACATTAACTAAAGCTATATTCTTTTTTCAGATGGATGCAGACAATGACTTGATTGGAGACCCTTGTGACACCAACAAGGACAGGTAAGCCAGTAACTTTATGAATGATATTATACATTTTTTTCTGACATGTTTGTGTTTCCCAGTGTGAATTTTAGTTTATGGACTTGTTTCCAGTGATGGTGATGGACATCAAGATTCCCGGGACAACTGTCCAGCCGTCATCAACAGCTCTCAGTTGGACACCGACAAAGATGGGAAGGGAGACGAGTGTGACGATGACGATGATGGTGATGGGATCCCTGATCTGCTGCCGCCTGGTCCTGACAACTGTCGTCTGGTTCCAAACCCTCTTCAGGAAGACCTTGATGGTGAGAAAGAATTTTCAACGATTTACAAGCATTTCACTATCAACATCGTGGAGGAGCTACTGTACGTTCATAATGAAAAGAGGTTCCTTCTGTTTAGAAGCCATTGCTTTATGTGTCAAGAAAAAAAAACTGACCTGGCCTTAACTTTTTATGTTATTTTGAATGTTTTTCAGAATCAGAACCAACTTGAATGTCAAAGTTTGGTTGCAATAACGAGGAATTTAACTTTAGTTTCACCTACTCACAAGATACCTGCATCTTGTATTAATATGGAAACCTTGCTTATCCATTCCCACTTATTGTTTTTCACTTTAAATTTTTCTGACTCTAACTAGTCCCGCAGTTTTCAACCGATTTCAACAATTTTGGTATCAAAACGTTCAGCTTGTTCAGGAGAATTGTGCTATGTCTTTTGGTAAAGATATTTGTTTTAGTTTTCATGATATTCAGCTTTTTCTGCGTTTTTTGTGTCCCATTGAAATGCATGTAGAATTCTTAGATTTCAGCAAAATTCAGCTAAAACTTAATCATCTTCGACCTTTAACTACTGCAGCATACTTTCAGCTAGAAACACCATTCAACTTTTAAAATTTTTCCGTATATTTCTGCTATTACTGTTTAACTCAGCTTTTTGCTAACTTTTATAGTTTTGCTTCAGTGAAGCTTCAAACTTTAAAAGAATTTTTAAAGATTTTCAGATTTATAATGGAAGTCTATGGACGGAATTCTTCAACTGCTAGAGTGCGTGCTCTAGCTTTTGAGCTGTTCTGGTTTTTCCGAACAAATTCTTCTCACTCCTTCATTTTTCACTCAATTCAAATAAATTATACATCAAAACGTAGGGATTTTTGTCAGGATTCAGGAAATGTAACCCTAATTTGTGTGGCATGTACGGTTTTCCAACAGTTTGGCCCAGACCGCGAAGAAGTCCAGACTTCCCCAATAGAAATCCAATGAGAGACTTTCCAAAAATCACAGACAAAATCCAAAACGATACATATTTTCATTACTAACATGAAAATGTTAGTAATGAAAATGTTTCCATTACTAAAAATGTAAAATGTTTCCATTACTAACATGAAACTTGGTGTAGAACATCTTCAGACCCTTCTAGCACTCACATTGAAGGAATTTTTTCAATATCATTTATGGTTTAGCTGTTTAGCTGACTTGTTCGGGCATAGGAAAACATTGATTCTGCGAAAAATCCTCATACTCAGAAAAAACACATTTTTACATCGTCACCATGGCCAAATAGTTTTTAGTAGAAACATGAAAGTTGGCACAGTCGAAGCCGAAGGATGGCTGACGCCAACGGTGTAACAAATTTTTGAATACCTTTTACGGTTTTGGCTCACCCCTCGTTTGTTCGGAGGGGAAGTTTTGCTTTTGACAGCTCAGCTCTACCATGGAACTCCATGTTATTTAATGGGACCAGCAGGTGCTACAAACCTTTTTATTTCTCCTTCCCATTAAGGTTGTGAATGAGCTACAGCCATGAAAGTTACCCCAGATGGAGACAAAGGATAGCTGTCACTTAGACTGAAAGAATTTTTAAGATACCATTTACGGTTTGTCTTCAGCACTCTTTTGTTCGGAGCTGATTTTCCCACTCAAAAAAGCCTGAGAGGAAAGAAACGAAAGTGAAGCGCATTTCTCTCTGTCACTGACAGGTTCATTAAGCGTTGTCAAGGTAACCAAGCTTCAAACGGATTTTGCCCCAGCATATGGCTCAACATTATGACCCAAACTCAACCACTTTTTTAAAAATGAGACTCTAGGAGTTTTTCAAAACACACCCTATAGCAAATTTCAAAATAAAAGCCTCCCATTGCCACTTCATCTACTGCCCTAATAACAGGGAAAAAAAGTGATTTAACGATTGGAAAGTCATCAAGTATCACTGCTGGGTCTGACCCTTTTCTCAACACACAACCCTGCTAGACTTTCAAAATAAGACTCCACTGACCCTACACAATCAAAGCCTCTATATTATACTCGCGTATTAATTGATGCAAATGGCTCAGCATTATGACCCAAACTCTACCAACTTGTTTCTATTAGACTCTAGGGACCTTTTCAAAACATACCCCGGAGCGAATTTCACAATAAAAGTCTCCCATTTACGCTCTAATACAGCATCTATTCACCCAATAACATGGAAAACCAGTGATTTCATATTTAGAAATGGATTCTATATCACTGCTGGGCATGACCCTTCCCTTGACACACATTCATGATAGACTTTCAAAATAAGACTAAAGGGACTCTACAAAATAAAAGCCTCTTCCTTAGACACACTCATTCATTGTGCCGTATGGCTCGTAGCTATGACCCAAACTCAACCAATTTCTTCAAATAACACTACTAAGGCCTGTTGACCACACACCTCAGTGCATATTTCTTAATAAGGTTCTAAGATTTACACTGTAATAAAGCATCTGCTAACCTCGTAACATGCAGCCTAAGCCTGCTAACGGTGCTTTCATCACCACAGCGGCTCATAACATGCAGGTTAGTTTGTTTTGATAAATTCAGCTCTTTAAGTGGTATTAGCTCTCTTTCTATAAGCTTCTCTCTCTGTCCTTCCTCTGCTTCTCATGGTCAGTCTTGCACATAGCTTTGTAGATTTTCAGTCCTCAAAGGATGACACTGTTTTCTTTATGCTGATCAACCTACACATTTTAAATCATTTCAAATAGTTTTCCCAAGTCTTGACATTTCCACATATGATTTCAAAATTCTGATACTTATTCAATACCATCTTCCTCAACATTTTATTTCCCATCCTTAAGCTTTTCCTTTTTTGTTCAACCAGAGAAGATTCAAGTTTTTCTTTATTTATTTTTCTGATTCAGCTAATTTAATACTATTTAGCCTATGCTGTGAACTTTGGCTTCATTCTGTTCTCTTTCTGGACAGGAATTAAGCTTTTCTGTTTGCTGCTAAGTCATAACACGCCTGACATAATTCTGTGCAGTAGGTGACCCCCCCCCCCCTTCAAAATTTCTTTAAAAATTTTCTAGAAACTTGGGAGACATTATGTTAAGACCCCTCTAGTGCCCACTTTCAAGACATTTGTTGATATCATGTATGGTTTGGCTGAGCAGCTTTTAAGATGAGTCTGTTTCTGCCATTTTACTGCCAAATGATTCTACCCTACAAAATCTTCAGATGATTCAATTGTTTTCTGCAGTTTGAAGTTTCTGATGACTTTCTATCACATTTTCATAGGTTCTTCAGGTAATTTCAGCTTTTTTCATTCAGCAGAAGCATTCTCACTGGCTGTTTCTCCGAAACAGCTTTTTCTAGTTTTAATTGTATGACTAATTTGACAATAAAAAAAACACATCTCTATGTTTAGATGTACACAAATTTTCATTGAAGCACTCAACAATATTTCTCATTTTGAAGCCTGAAAGTCCACTCTGTGAATCCGCTAGGTTCTTCTCTCCTCTCAGTCTTTACGCAGGTAAATAAACCCAATATTTTCAGGCCGCCTCTAGACTTTAGACACTGGTTGCATTTGAAAAGAAGATTATTATGAAAAGATGAAATACTGGTGGCATATTGGCACTTTTGGGGGAGTGTTGGTCTTGTGGTTAGGGCAGTGCGCTTGTGCTCTGAGAACGTTGCAAGTATCCGGTTCGATCCCAACAGCCTCCACTCTGGGTTCCTGAATATCGACCCTTAACTCCACACTGCTCCCTGGGCGCCGCACGATGGCAGCCCACTGATCCCCAAGGGGATGGGTTAAATGAGGAAAATTTCTCCAATGTGATCAATTAGTATTTATTCTCTAGGCTGCAGTGTGAAATTTCAAATTCCTGGGTTTTTTCATTGGGTGCACAATCAATGTTTCAGTTTTGTTGGAAATTTGCCATAAGCCATTTATGTATTTCTTGGTTTTGTGTTGTGAAATTTCTCGCTCTCCATTCAACCCTCCTCTTTTATCCGGGCTTGGGACCGGCAAAGTAACCTTAAAAGATACTCAGGCAGAGTTACTTTTTTATTTTTTTTATTCTTTTATTTTTTCAAACTTTAAAAGAATGAGCGTGCGATTTTACAACAAAGTGAGCTTCCCTTAAATGGTAGAGCTTTCTACATGATTAGAGATTTCAATTTCTGCTTGGAGCCTCAATCTTTTCTCTTCTTGGAGCAACGTTTCCAGCTGCTGGATGTCATGTTGAAGTTTTTTCTGGTCGACCTCCTTGGATGTGCTCTGAGTTTCTTTTAGTTTCCGTTTTTCTGCCTGGATCCCTACTTTCCTCTTTTCTTGAAGCTCTTCTTGCAGTTGTTGAATGTCCAGGTTCAACTATTGGATGTAATCTTGATGGTATTAGTGATCATCCCTGATCTCTAGTTTGCTGAGAAGGGTCTGGCTTTTGTCCACAGCCTTCAGCCTTTCTGCCTCACTTCTCTCCAAAGAGGCTCGTACCCTTATGACTTCTTGATTAAGTTCTTGACACAAAGCGCTGACGCTTTCTACATGATTAGAGATTTCAATTTCTGCTTGGAGCCTCAATCTTTTCTCTTCTTGGAGCAACGTTTCCAGCTGCTGGATGTCATGTTTAAGTTTTTTCTGGTCGACCTCCTTGGATGTGCTCTGAGTTTCTTTTAGTTTCCGTTTTTCTGCCTGGATCCCTACTTTCCTCTTTTCTTGAAGCTCTTCTTGCAGTTGTTGAATGTCCAGGTTCAACTATTGGATGTAATCTTGATGGTATTAGTGATCATCCCTGATCTCTAGTTTGCTGAGAAGGGTCTGGCTTTTGTCCACAGCCTTCAGCCTTTCTGCCTCACTTCTCTCCAAAGAGGCTCGTACCCTTATGACTTCTTGATTAAGTTCTTGACACAAAGCGCTGACGCTTTCTACATGATTAGAGATTTCAATTTCTGCTTGGAGCCTCAATCTTTTCTCTTCTTGGAGCAACGTTTCCAGCTGCTGGATGTCATGTTTAAGTTTTTTCTGGTCGACCTCCTTGGATGTGCTCTGAGTTTCT